GCCCAGACAGGGAACACAGAGAAACACCATCCCCTGCTCAGCCCATCAGCAGCGCCACCACTGCTGCATGGCCCAGGAAGGGCTGTACTTCCCTGTGCTGTGCTCCAAGTCCTGACAGGACACAGAGGCCAAGCATCGGGGGGGCCCAGGAAGAAAGAGACAGAAATTGTAGGGGAGGGAGAAGGGACAGACACTGTGGGGAGAGAAAGCAAGGGCAGGGACTATGGGGAGTGGGTTAGGCAAAGGGGCAGAGACTGTGGGGGACTAGGGGTAGACAGGTAAAAGTAGCAGGAGCGGGGCAGGAAGGCTGCAGAGGGAATAAGTGGGGGACAGAAGGCAAGGGGTCTGTTTGACCCCACCCCAGCCACTGCTTTCTGTGCTATAGCATTTGTTGGGAGGACAAACTTAAGACAACCATCCAATAATTAGATTGTGAAAATTATAATAAATGTATTTCCATGCACAGAATTTACTTATTGGGGGATCATCTTAAATTCAGGATCATCTTACATTTGAGTGAATACGGCAAATCTCAGCACTTGACAGGGTTAAGTTCAAATTAATTGTCGTTGAAAATTAACCACTTTTAACCATATAACTTCAGAAATTATGATGAAAGTATGTCACAGTGGTTTAAGTCTCAGCTTTTAAAATCTCTCATAAAGATATATTAATCTAAAATAATACAATGAATGAATAACTCACTACTTCCTTTGTATTTCTAGTAGAAACAATCCAAACACATTACACTAAGAATGTGAAACTCAAGTCAAGAAGAGAAGAAATTATATTTGTAATTATGCTCAGTAGGCCAGAATATAAATTTAAAATACATACCACCCTCAATCTAAAAAAAAGTTACCACTGAAATTTATTCTAGGGCTATAACTGATTTTAGTGTAGTGCCTGAACTGAAGAAATAGATTGATTCTGATTGACCCAAAGTATTTTTTCTGTTTTTCTTACCAAACACAAGTCCCCCAAAAATCCATTTTGTACCCAGCAAAATATTACAAAGTGAGACCAAACAAAATAACAAATGCAATTCAGGTTGGAAAAATGTGACAATTTTAGGGGGGGGGGGAAATATCTGAAACAGCTACTCTAGAAGAGCATGGAACCTGGAATGCAGTAATGCTATATGGTTCATATTCCTCTGCATTTACCTTTATAGCAGTTCTTCTTCTAAGCAAGGAAATATATTAAATACAACAAACATTCTACCGAAGAAACATTTAGATTTTTTGAGGTAAGCGTTTTAACAGCAGACTGTTAATTAGATCACTTTTCAATGTTATATCGCATTAGAAATGCTGATTTAGTTTTGGGCTACCTACACAGAAATATCAAGCCTTGGTTTTATATAATTCACTGATGACCTACCTGTCCGTGAGCTACTTGACTTGAAGGTCTCAAGTAAGGATACCATGTAAACACCAAAAGCAGAATGGAATCCACTGACAAGCAAAGCATGTGTAGATGCAGCCAGCACCACAACCCATCCCCAACCTCCATCCGGAGGAGGGTCCAAAAATGAAATCTCTTTCTGGAGACTATCAGTATTATCCTTTTTCTCCAAGTTGCGTGTAACTTGATGCAGCAAAGTCCGTAACCTTCTCATTTGTAACATGACTCGAATTTATGACCTGCATACAAATACATTTTTTTCATAGAATACATGAAAAATGTGAAACTTGGAACAAAAATCAAAGTATGCATTTATTATAGTGTATACCTAGCCCAAAATTAAAATATCTACTATTATGAAGTAATCCTTTAGTAACATCACTTTAAAAATCAATTTAATCTACCAGCAAATTAGAAAAGCTAGTCTCTTAGTTATAAAGTTTTTTCCATGGCATCATGCAGCAAAGTAAAGACTGCCTTGCTGCTGACTGCATACGCCCATACCTGAATATGTGCACCATGTAAGTTTAAACTTAACTCTGAATTTTCTGGCTTTATACAATTACAACTAATGCAACTTCAACACCTCCTCCTCCAAAACTACTGCTGGGCTCATGGAAATAGAATAGGGCTAAGTAGCACAACTGCTGCAACAGTCAAGAAGCCAGTTAGATTGGTCTTCAGGGCTAGGGACAGAAATTACACATAAACTGGTATAAGTGATCAGAAACCAATTCAAATCTGTAACACAGCAGCAGTTCAGTGCACATAAACTGTTTTGAAATGACCAAAACCTTTTTAAGATAAACGTTCATGGATGTAGTATCAGACTTAACTGCTTTAGGTTAAATCGGTTTATTGAACTTCTGTCCCAGATCCCCTCCAGATTCAAGCTCCAGCTGAGCAGAGAGGCATGCTCTAGCACCCCCTGCCTGCACCCCTGGTTTATGGCCTGAGCCATTGCAGGCATGTGGCTGTATTTCTGGAATCAAAAGTAAATATCTGATCACTTGCTTATTGGTTCAACCTATGCAGCTTAACCTAACCTGTGAAGATTAAATCGATTCAGCTTTGGGCTTTCTGTCTGTACTTAGCCTAAGTGGTTTCATTGATACTCCATTTGGCTTATCTGGATGTCACTAGGAATGACATCCTAGGAGAGGATTGACCGTGATACAGCTCTAGTATGGTAAGTTACTACCTAAAAGGTGCAAATGCACTTGTATGACTCTGACCCAGTGAAATCAATGGAGGTTTTGGTATTGATTTCCCTGGATCAGGTCATTAGTTAACAGCTCTACTCCTTGAGTATTTTCAGTCATAGCCACAGGCATCATAGAACCATAGTAAATTAGGGCTGGAAGGGCCCTCAGGA